TATTTTAACCTAGACAATGGGCTTTCCTACCCCAGGTGCATATAAACATCCACCTATATTTTCTCTAATATTTGATAGTTTAGACTTTTTTTTACATTTACATCTTTTATTCATCTGGAATTTATTTTTAGATATGGTATAAATTAAGCACATAAATTTTTTTATATGAACATTCAGTTTCCCAACATCATTTATTAATGAGCCATCTTTATATGTCTGTTTTGATTTCTTTTCTTTTGTATTGGTGCTGGGGATTGAACCCAGGGCCGTGTGTGTGCTAAGCATTGGCTCTTCCACTGGCTTAAACCTGCTGGCCCTTACCTCTCTGTCTTGAGATTCATGTTTGTCATAGAGCCAAAGGGCTTGGACATTTAGAGCATGAGTAGTTACTACTGTATTCTGGTTGTTCTTCCTGCATTTCTGGATTCTCCGTTCTAATTTACTGGTTTATTCTTTTGCCCATATCTACTGTTTAAATTATTGTGACTTTTTGTAATATATAAGGCGATGTTGTCCTTGTGAGAAAGTCATTGAATATGCTTACTAAGATGGCTGGGATGTCACTGGGCCATAGAATCTTATGGGAGCATCATTGTATGTGTGGCCCAACTTTGAAGAAATATCATGGTATGATTCATGGCTGTTATTCATTATCTTAACTAGTTGTTTCTTCTTTTTCCATCTTTTTGTAACCTTTCTCATTTATTTTTTTTCAACTAGATAAACTTTGGAATAAGTGAAAGTCATCCTATAATCTGAATGGGACTTTGATTGGCATACTCTACAGGTTTATTTAAATGAAAAGAGATGTCTTTTTAATGTTTTCCTCTGATCTGGGTGTTTGATTTATTTACATCTTTCTCTAGTGTCTTATTATTTTGCTCATGGGTTTGGCACATTTCTTATTAGGTTTCCAGTTAGATTTTATGGCCAAGGTCGCTGTTATCACGGAGATAATCCCCTTCTCTCCTCCCCTTCTAGCTGATTACGTCTGGTGGGTAAGAGGGCCATTGACTTTCGGATATCAGGACTGGCACTTTGCTTACATCTCTTCGTTGGCTTAAATGGCTTGTTGGTTCTTCCTCTTGGGTTTTCAGATCAGGAAACCATTTTTCAACATTGGCCTTTCCTTTCTGATATTTATGCCTCTGTGTTATTTGGGTCGGGAGTCTTGATTAGTTCATTCTGTGGGCTCCTGGGGTCTTGGTGGCCCCTCAGAATGGTCCTTTTGCTTTGCACTCAGTGACTAAACCCTTAAACTGGAGCCTCTGATTTCTCTGCAGCCCTCCAGGCCACTGGGTCAGCCTGGGAACAAAGCTGGTGGTCAGTAGAGGTGATTTTTTTTCTGTGTAGTTGGAGTGGGCTGAAGGGGAAAGATCTTGTGGAAAGGCTTCTCCAGGCAAGGGCAGCAGTTCCACTGGAACTTTCTGGTTCTGGTTTATTCTCTGCTTGGCCCTCCAGCAGGGAGCTCCAAGGACTGTGTCTCCTCAGAGCATGTCAGTGCACATGGTGGTGACCTTGCTGAGGAGTCCCAGCAAGCAGGCTGGAAGCTGCTGGTGGCCTCTGCCTCTTCGTGCAAATTGAAGGGGTGCCCCGTGGGGACATGGGCACATGGAGTGAGGTGGGATGGGAGTGCTGGATGCAATGCTGTTACCCATAGTTCCCCTTTGCATGTTGTGGGGGCAGCACAGGTGAGGTGGGGAGCATGGGGTTTGGCCAAATGAGATGAGGGAAGATCCCACTCTGATTGTGCCGAGATACTTACTGTGCCACCAAATTCCCACCAGGAAACTGTGGCCCTTGGGGGACCCTGGAATCTGTGATTCTGGTCATAGATGTCACCCTCAGTCGCTTCCTCTCATTTATGTCATTTATGCAGTACCCTTGGCCACCAAGACCTCTGCCCACCCTGCAGAGCCTGCCTGTTGCTGTGAGTTCTTGGTATTCTCTTCTGACGAGTGAGAGGGAGCCACTCTTGCTAGTTTAGATTCCTAAGTCATTTTGCCCATTATGGACTTTTTGTGTGCCATTTTTCACCATTTTCATATAGAATCTTTGTGGAGAGTGGTACAACTATCAATACTTGTTCATAATGTGTGTGTGATGAAGGTTATAATTTTCTCACTTCATGAGATAAACCAGCCAACCTGGCACCTTCAGGATGGTCACATTAGTGTTTGTCACCTTGGGAGCTGGTGGGTGGGTGTTGTGATAAATTAATTACTCTTCTAACCAGGCCCGGAACAATAGGGGCACATGGCTCCATGCTGCCCTCTACTGGTGGTCTGGGTCCCTAGTCACACTTCGCAGTGGGTGGTCCAGGCCTAGAAGTCTGATTGAGAGGAGAGGAACCTGTTTGCAGGTGTAGTGCCTGGCCTGGAGTTTTTGTTTGTTTTTGACCATTCCTTCTGTCAGGAATCCATTCCATCTGTCAGGAATCCATTCCCTGTTCCAGCCCCTTGGAAACTCCATTTTGGACCTTGTTCAGGCCCTGTGTCTTTCCTTATAGAGGTGTGTGTCTGGTTGGGAAGAGATGGAAGAGCTGTTCATGCTGTCTTCAGAGCAGATGGAGGCCGAGCCAGACCAGCTGTGTGGAGAAACAACTAGCAAAAGAGCCGCTCTACCCTGTGGTACCAGGAGATTGGTTGGAGATAATTGGAAGTGCAGTGTGGATATAGCTATCTCCTAGGACATGGGAGGCCTGGGGAAATATTCTGCCAGAGATGGGGCGGGTGCAGCATGTGTAAGTGCTAGGAGTGGCAGAAGGGAGATTGAACCCTCTCTGACTCCAGGGCTTTCGTGCTTAACCAGTAAGCGGCAGGACCTCCCAGCAGGAAATCAATCGCATGCTTCCAAGGAGGTATTTTTAAGAGTCAATATGCTTGACTTTGGGAAGGAGTCATAAGGATGAAATTCACCACAAGATTAGAGACGTATGTACTGGATCAATTTGGCAATCTCTTAATGTACTACTCAGAACTGCCTGTTTTCAAATTAAGTGTGAAGTGAATTTTTTTTTTTTTTAATACCTGAGTTTAGTTGCATGTAGAAAACACACCACTAGAAGAGGAAGGGAGTTGATGTCATGGAGCACTGGACAGTTGAGGTGGGGCCCTTTCTTCCTGTGCAGCTGACTGATGGCTGCACAGCTGTGGGATGTCACCAGCTCAGTGGCCTGTGGTCCTCTGTCTGCAGGCTCAGGGTCTCCCGCTTCAAGCTCCTCCCTCCAGCTTTGAAATCTTGAACAGCAGCTGTGATCAGTCCTGGCATTTTGTTTCCTGGTGCATTGAGTGCTTTTGCCTGAATGTGGATGCCCTGTCCCTGAGGCTGTGTGTGTTGCTTGTTGTTTTCCAGCAAGACCTGGATGGGCTCAGGAAGCAACAGCAGTGTGCTGTCTGGCATCTGGGTCTTCGTTTTCCCAGGAGGGCACATTTGCTGCATATGAGTCCTATTCAGTTGAATCCTTCCTTCCAGTTTGGGTTTGGGGTGGGTTTTGGAGTTGTTAAGGCAGATGATGAAAAATGGGCATGTAGCTTTGCATGACAGTGGGATTAGCCTTTTCAGGCACCCTGTAATGGAAAGATGGCATTACTAGAATCCAGCCACTTAACCAGTGCGGCTTTATCAAGGACTTATTTATATTATTGTGTATTGCCTGAGAGTGAGCAAGCTATAAAGTAACTTTCAGGATTCTTGGTGTGGGTCTGGGGCACATCTTTGTGTGGGTGAGTTTAATATCTGCCCATGTGTACCTCATTTCCTGGGTATGAAACTGAGCAACGGCTCTTTGATTTTCAATTTTAAACCCTTATCTTCTGACATTCGGCCTTACACAGAGCAGAATGTTGGAAATGGGCCTCAATTACCGTGTCCCTAATGGGATGGGTTTTATTTCGAATGAGTAGACTGTGACAGCCTTTAACTGCCTTCGTGTGACTCTCCTCACAATAGTCCATTTTCCCCTCATTCAATGGGATATGTCTAGCTGAATCCTGCCTCACAGTTGTACCCCACAGAGGCCTGCAGATCCTGGCTCATCTCCCAGGGCTGTGGTGGGACATGCCAGCCACAGCCCAGGAAATGGGGGCCAAGGGGAACCCCGAGTGTGACCTCAAGGGCCCACATGGCTTTTATTGTACTCTCTGTTGTCCAGAAACATTTCACATTCAGGGCAGAGTTGCTCTGCTGTTAGCCTTCTGCAGGAACAAGGCAGAGCAGCTGTGGATGGGCTTCCGTGTTGGCAGATGTGGAATCAGGCAGAAGTACCGGGGGAGTAGTCATTGTGGAGTCTCTGCACTGAATGATTCACTTTTGTGGACATCAGTGTGTTGGGATTGGGCTTGGGACAGGTCCAGCAAGGGTGTCCTATCATCCATAAGAGTGCTTATGACTTTTTTTCAAAGCTGGCTCACAAAGTGTTTGTGGAATGAATGTGCATCTGAGCATCTTAAATCCAGGAGAGCCATAAAATCTGCCTTTCCCCAGAGGAGCAGGTGCAGATGATGTATTTTCTATTTGAACCAACCCTGAAGGGGTCTGCCCAAGTTTCAGAAAGAAAACTCTTGACATATGTAGGGGAGAGCTCTTTCCTTCCTTCCTTCCCTCCCTCCCTCCCTTCCTTCCTTCCTTCCTTCCTTCCTCCCTTCTGCACTGGGGATTGAACCGAGGGATGATTTACTAATGAGCCACATCCTCAGCCCTTTTTATTTTTTGACACAGGGTCTTGCTAAATTGCTGAGGTTGCCCTTGAACTTGCGATCCTCCTGTAGCCTTCTGAATTGCTGGAATTATACTGCGCCTGGCACTCTTATAGTTTTTGACACACACAAAAAAAGACACTTGAGCCTATAAAATAAAACTTTTCAATTTGTTATTCCTGTAACACTTCACGTAGAATCACTGACTACTTCCATTTCTTTTGGCAAATGTCATAGGAAAGCCATCATAAATCATTAAGTCTATCTCCCCCCATACTCATTCATTTCCATGGTGGGAAAAAAAAAGGCACTGAGAACAACAATCACCAGCTGCCCAAGTACCAGAAAGTTATGCTTCCCAAATCTCTTGATGTTGATTCTGCATGAAGAGCAATCAAGTTGCCATATGTATACCACTAGACAGAAGCGACCCCCCCCCCCCGCCAGCTTTTTGAGCCCTTTCATTTAGAACATGTGTTAGAGTAGAGCTGGGGATGTAGCTCAGTGGGAAGTGCTTACCCGGCATGCTCAGAGCCCTGGGTTTGATCCCCAGGACCACACAAACAAAAATGAAAACAAAACACACACCCATGCACCCATGCACACAAAACCCTTCATGTTATTAAAAAGAAATTTACTTTGCCATTGGTGAAAATATCCTTTAATATGTTTGTGAATTATACTTCTGGCCTCTCTGAGGTTCATTATCTGGCTGGATCTTGGTCTTCCCCAGCCCCTGGCCTAGAGCCTGGCCTTGTGCTACTTGGCTATGGAAAGGGCAGCTCATCCTGATCTTAATAAGAAGGTCCTTTGTCTTCACACTAAAGGCAGGCATGAGCTCTCTTCTCTGGCTTCTGCCTCTTACAGTAAGCCATGCTGTTGGCTCCCCAGGAGAGCCAGTCCACCCAACATTTTTTTTTGTTGGTTATCAGCTTCTCTTTGGGATGTGCCAGGGTTGCTTGTGGTTACTTCATTGATGGAACACTTTGGGAGGATCACTGATGAGATGTCTGACTCAGTGATGTCTTCCAACATCAAGAATACCTTTGTTTTCTTAGTTACAAAAAAAATTGTGGTGAAATACATATAACAGGAATTTTACCATCTGAATCAATTTAAGGTATTAAATTTGGTAGCATTAAGTATATTCACAGTGTTCTACAGCCATCAACTCATGCCCCAGTACTTTTCTCATTGTGCAGAACTGGAAGTCTGTACCCATTAAATAATAATTCCCCATTTCTCCTTCCCTCAGCCCTTGGCAACCACCATTCTACTTTCTGTCTCTGTGAATTCAACCACTCTAGGTTCCTTATGTAAGTAGAATCATACAGTATTTGTCCTTTTCTAACCTGCTCATTTCACTTAGCACAATGCCCTCAAAGTTTATCCATGCTGTAACATGTGTCAGAATTTCCTTCCTGTTTTCAAAATGTATTTTTAACTGATACTTCAGAACATAATTAATGGGGTACCAAGTGATGTTTTTATTCATGTATACATTGTATAATGTTTAAATCATGGTAACCATGTCTATTTCCTCAAATATTTATCATTTCATTAGGAGAAAATCTTTTAAAAATCCTTTCTTCTAGCTTTTAAAAATATACAGTACATTATTTCTGTGCAGTCGGCATCATTTCTGTGCAATAGTGCTTCGGAACTTCTTGCTCCCATCTAACCTTTCTGTTTAAGGCTGAATAGTATTCCATTGTTTGTGTTTGCTACATTTTGTTTATCCATTTATTCATCAGGCATCAAGAGCATATCACATAGTAGAAAGCAATGAAAACTCAAGGGAAGACTCAATCTTGGTTGCTTATGATCTCTGTGGTGACATTGTCTTTGGTAGTAGGGAAGACAGGCTAGGAAGACCTGTTTACTCCTGCATTGAACAGGCATGCACTGAACCCTCACAAGCATTGAATTCAGGTGCTGAGTGCAGAGGTTGCATACAGGAACAGGAACTAGTTTCTGCTCTCAAAAAGTAGCCGTGACATGCCAGATAGGGCCAGCTCATATCCTGAGTTTTGCAGAGTTAAAAGAAAAGGTATCATCTATAGAGAAACTGCGTCTAGGCCTGGGCCTGTAGCTGAGGCCAGGTAGAAGGCTTGCCAAGCATGCATGAGGCACTGGGTTCAATCCCCAGCACCACATAAATATAAACAAATCAAATAAAGGTATAAAGAATACAATAACACTATTTAAAAAAAAATAAAGTTCTGAAGGAGTATGGTCCCTGGACTTCCAAAGGATGCCTCTTTGTTCTAAGAATTGAATGGAATCTATTTCTTCCCAGAATAGAAAGTTCCTCACTGTTTGCAGGAGCTGGTGTGATCCTGGCCAATTGCACCAGAGCTTGGAAGCCCCTCACCTTTAAAGCTCACCTCTTTTAAGAAGGTCAATAAATGTCTTCAATAGATATACCCAGAAATACAGTTAAAAAATTAGGGAGTTAGAATAACTATCAGAAGAATTAAAATTGGAAATGATGAAAAGGATTGCCAGAATCCAGAAGGGACTGTAGCTCTTCATAGAGGCTCTTTTGGCACTGGATTCTCTTAGTCTGAGTGAAGCAATAGTCTCATTTCTTTAGGGCTGTGCACAGCAAATGACTGACAATCTCTCAGGCACATTGGTCAGTTTGCCTAGTAATGCTGAGCCAGAGGTGGGTAGGGCAGTGAAGGCAGACGCATGAAGTATTCAAAAGCCAGGCAGGAAATGAGAGGTGCTCAGTGATGGGTGGGGTCATGATATCTGGCACAATTATTCCTGCCAAAAATCTTAATGGTGGACAATTAATTAAAGTATTGCCCCAGCCCAATGGGATAAGCATTGTGCAGCAAACTCCTTAATGTTTTGTGTTCAAGAAATAAGGATCTGGGCATTCACCTCCCTGTGGAGGGGAGCAGGGAAGGAGTTTTCAACCTGGGGCACCCTGGCTGTGCTTGCTGCCTCCCAATCACAGTGCCTGCGTCAGTTGGGAACGCGAGCTCCACTACTCTTCTGTTAGGACTTGTCCCCTGGCACTGCATCGGTTTCCTGGACATCAGATTCACAACAGGGCTTAAGAATAGCATCTTGCAAATCCTATTCAGTGAACGAAATGATTTTTCTCTTTTTATTTTTTCTTACATAGCCGCATCTATTTGAAATTTTAGTTTTATATTCATTTCATCTAATAGTATATTCACCTGAGATAATGCACATTCTATTAAATGGGGAAAATATGGCATTACAAATATTCAAATATTTAGAGCTTCAATGGGGCCAAAGGTCTTGATTTTCAGGGAACATCCTTATGTCATCCAATGTTCTGTTTTTTTCCAAAAAGAAGGGTCCCTAAATCAATGTTTACATTTTCTGGCTTTTCAGTAATTATTTCTGTTGAACATCTTCAAGTTTTTACACTAAGAAGCATTGATCAGTTAATTTTTTTTGAAGAACCCTAAGAAGATGTGATTTTGATTTTGACTTCATAAAAATGCCTTCAAGAAAGTTCTCTGCCCATGGATTCTTCATTTTTGGTTTGTAAATGGTGGTGTGCTGAGTTCTGATCCACTAGGGTGAAGTCGGTGGAGCAGAACAGTTTGGGTTTTGCTGGCCACGCTCCTACTTTATTTAGGCCAACAGGATCCCCAGGAAGGACAACAGCCATTAGGTCTCGTTGGGAAGAAAGAACAGTGACCAGTTCTGGATCATTTTACTTCTGAACAAATAAGAAAGTCACTCGCCTACGCTTAGGGACAGCACCCATGATTTGCATGGGGCCTTATGGTGGCGGCCTGCTGCCTGCGTGGTGGAGATAAGATGCCAAGACTCACCACAGTTACTCAGGGGTCACCATGGAAGGAGCTTAATTCAGCGCACTCACCCCCTCTTGCCTCCAATCTCATTTACATTTCTGTGATTAATAATATTCCCTTGTTCTCTCCGGAGCTGTGTGTGGGTTCTATTTCTCTCTTCATTTTAATAGAGCTTTTAAATTAAAATACACATGGCTTAAGCCATTCACAAAATGTCTCACATTTATGAAAACACTGCGGCAGTGATCCTCTTGCCCACCTGCACATGTGCCATAGCCTTGGGAGCAGTCCCCCTAGGCTGTCCTGAGCCCGGCTGGAAATGTTGCTGATCCTAATCAGAAATGGAGTTGTTTCAGTGCAGATTATAGGTTCATGTTAGCTTTAGTGATGGAGAGATGGAAATAGATGCTTCCGTGTTATTACCATTCCAAGTAAAATAATGAGGCTGCATATTTGCAGCGAGATGCTGAACCAGACGTCACCAGAGTAATTTGGATTAGTGGGAAGTTGGAACATATTGTTTTAAAAGAGATTTCAAGAGCATTACTTTTGGAAATCCCATGTAATGATGAAATGATTTTTTGGAATCTTTCATTTTTTTCATTTATGTTTCTGTAGCTATTTGGATTTTAAGTTTCATATCGGTTCCCTTTTAATAGTATTTGTTTGATATATTTGACTTCCATGAAATGGGCTTGATATTAAATTATTTTACATATATATATATAATTATTTTTTTTTTTCTAATTGGAAGGCCCAGGAGCATTTTGAGTGTGGGTATTTGGGTCACAGAGGTGTTGCCTCCCTTCCATTTTGTGACATGTGAAGAGCCAGGCCATTCCATGGTGGGGCTGAGGAGAGACTTGCTGTTTTCTGAGAACGTATTATGGATTAGGAAGCAGGAGTTATTTAAAGATCTGTCCTTTTGTGCTTTGTAATCTGAAAAGCAGAAGCTGTGGCCTCAATAGGAGGAGTTTTAAAATCTGTGAGGGGGCTGACTAGGTTCCTGTCTCCAGGCAGGACTGGATTATATTCAGGAACCATTTCCAGCCACAGACGGTATCCCATATAAAGCACTGAGATGAGGCTGCTGGCCACTTACTTGGGCAGGAGTGGGGTGAGGAGGTCTCAGGCTGGGGAGTCTGGATGGTGACCTGTTGTGATCCTGCAACTCTGGCCTTGTGGAGACATAGCCTGGTACCCTCTCAAGGTTGTCTCTCTTCTTTACTCTTCACGTTTCCTGGAGACATGAGAGGAGCTGGTCTCGTTTCTTGTAGATGCCCTCATACAATTATTGAGCAATCTTCTCAGGCTGCAGGAGTGTTGGAGGTCGAGCCCCTGACCCTAATGTCTTCTAATTTTTATTCTTTGTTTCCTGGCCCATTTACCTTAAAGGTTCTGTGAGATGGTGTTTATTATATATTTACTTTAAAATTACACATTAAGAATTTGGTAAAGAGCTGGGCATGGTGGTACACACCTGTAATCCCAGTGACTTGGTAGACTTGAGGCAGTAGAATTGCAAATTCCAGGAGGATCTCAGCAACTTAACAAGGCTGTGGCTCAGTGGTAAAGCACCGCTGGGTTTGGTCCCCAGAATGAAAACAAATAAATAGATAGAT